ACTGTGTATAGCATCAGAGGACAAAGAGAGGACAAGTGTCTCCAGCTCCCTGTCACCTCCCGTCTCTCACTGGTCCAAGTCTGGCCCACTAGGCGTTAACTCCTCATTGCCAGCTTGCATCACCCAAGCGTTACAGACATTCACAGGTGAAGCCACACGGCACGCTCTGGACCACGGCACTTCATCCTTGCCCAGAAGCTGTGGGAGGAACCAGAGCCTCAGGGGGTCCATCAGGTCGGGGCTGCCTCGAGCTTGTGTGTCTCCATCCAGTGGTGACACAAGAGTCCTTCCAGATGCCAGCACTCACCCCGGGGGGAGGACGAGAAAGCCTGTGCTATGAGATGATGGGGCAGTGGCCATGGTTTGGAGATGGCAGCAAAGGCTGGGACTCGCTCCATAAACAAGTAGCCAAAAGCCCAAGACCCAATGAAGCCAAGAGAAATGTGACCCACACAGGTGTAACCTGGGAAGACTCTGACAAATGAAGTGTCAACACAATAAAGCTCCAAAGTAAATAAGTTCTCCTAAAAGGGGAAACAGAAAGCTGTAGGATGCCGGAATGTATGCTACTGGAATATACAGCCACCTGCCCTTCCAACAGAGTGAGCAGCACATAGTCACACTAATGGATTCAGATGACTGAAACCACTTGTCTTCAGCGTGTGAGTTTAGAGAAGCAACAGTGAAAATAATCTACCGTGAGATTAAGGAGGAATTTAGGCTGACCAAGACAAAATATAAAGAGGACATAGACATTTTTAATGTCGGAAAATAGTTATTTTGAGGGAAAAGATCACTATTGCCTTTGATGTATAAGCATAGTCCGACACATGTAACAAGGAAAGAGAATTCATTCACGGAAAAGCCATGCTAAATGAGACGTCACAATGTTTTTGACTGTTTAATTGCTTAAGAAACTAATAATATTTTATTATGTATTTTTTTTTTACAAGAACTTAGAAATTTTCAATTCAAAAATGATTACAAAGCATATTTATTTTCAGTGTCTGATCTACGAACGAATCAGGTCCTGGGCACACGTGGTCTTGTAAGATTATCGTCAGCAAAAGTGGTCCTTTTTAAGCATGTTCATAAGAGGACATTAAAGCTAATACGTGTGGGATATGCAAATATTTGGATACTCGATTCCTTTTCCCTCTATTTCTCTAATCCCTGTAGCATGCAGCACAGGAACGAGCTCCTCGTTTGTGTTCGATAAAGCTTCAGACATGAGAGGGCACCGCTGCCACCTCTGTCCTCCTCCCCGACTGCCCAGGCTGGGGCCCTGCTCTCACCCCTTCACGGGCGCCTTCTCCAAACTACCACTTACTAGTAAAAGAGTTCCAGAGACAAGACCGCTAGTCAGTCAAGAGCAGCCTTGTGTCTGTTAAATCCCCAGCTGGGGGCCTGCATGGACTAATGACTGATTTCACCTGCAACACGATGTCATGGGAACCACAGTGAACTTGGAGTTAAAAGATGTGGTTTCAATGCTGAGTAAGAGACTTTCAGCCCTCTGATGTCGGGAACGCAGTTTTACCTAAGCACCAGTTTCCTCACTCAAACAAGGGAATTCTAACGTCTAGTTGGAATACAGAGCCGATGGTTGTCACAAACCCCAAACAGGAGAAGCTTAAACAAGGTAGAAGTGATTTCCCCTGTGCCTCATAGTAGGCTCCTGAGACATCCACACCTGACATGGCAGCACCACGGGGCCAGGAACTCGGCCTCCTTTCCTGTTCTCCCGTCACTGATGATGTAGTTCTGTCTGCGGGGTGAAAGGAGGTCCATAATCACACTGGGGGCTGGGGTCACATCCCAGCTGACAAGGGGGAACCCGGAGTGGAACACAGACCTCTCTCTTCTAAGGGCACAAGCAGTGCTGTGCTGGGGATGGTCAGAACCAGCCTATGAGAGCCAGTTGTCTACTTTTCAGGGACTACAGGAGCTGGTTGTTAAACAGCCTTTGTTAAAAATTAAATTACAGAAATTCACAAATTACATTAAAATCAAGGGCAGCAGATGCTCAGAACTCAACCCTTTCTAATTACCACACTACATTTCACTGTTACCCCTGTTCTGTGGTTATTTACCCGTAGTGTCTCTGTGTGGGAAACCACATGACCACGTGCCCCTGCAGGCCTGCAGACAGTGAAGACCCTTCATGTTGCAGACTTTGTTAAAAATTATAGAAATTCACAAATTATGTAAAAAACCAAGGGCAGCAGAGGCTCAGATCTCAACTCTTCCTAATTACCACACTACATTTCACCATTACCCCTGTTTTGTGGTTATTTACTCGTAGTGTCTCTGTGTGGGCACAGTGCATCACCACGTGCTCCTGCAGGTCTGCAGACAGTAAAGAGCCTTCATGTTGCAGCTTGAAATCCATCATGTCAGTGTGCTTCCACTACAGAAATTGGCAAAGACTGCAATTCAGGCCTTAATTTATTGTTCTGTTGATTATCTAACACGAGGAGCTAGCAAACCACCCAGAACCTGTTTTGGTTTAGTCCTTAAACTAACAGTGATTTTTGTTTTTTTTTAAACATTGTGAAGTACAGGAGGAAGGAAGAAAAAGAGGGAGGGCGAAAGAGCAAAAGCATGAAAGCAAGAAAGCAAGCAAGAAATAAAACATTTGATGGCGGCAGGCTGTATGTGGCTGCAAAGTCTTAAATATTTACCAGCAGGGCTTTTGCAAGAAATGTTTCTGAACCTGGTGGACAAAATATTAAAAATGCAAATGAAACTGAGAAGCCTCCTTGCTGGCTGTCGCCCTCAGGGGATGGAAGCAGCCTCATTCCTTGTCACGTGGCCCCTTGAGATTCTAAGACAGTGAGGAAGAATATCCTTTGTGTTGAATCCCTCTCAGGCTTTGACTCTTTCACCAGGAAGCACCCAGTGCCTTCGAGGTGCTCACCTGAATAGCTCAGGGGATAAGCACCCTCCCTGGAAGTCAGCTGTGCCACATCCCACACTCTCACCACCACGGGAAGGCCCCACCCCGCATCTGTCTCTATAGTTACAGGTCCCGCCCCCAATCAAGAGGATGGATTCCACATGGCCTTGGATCACTGGCTCATCCTAGAAGTCCTCCTACTACAAGGGGAATCTCATCGTTGGTGCCACATCTACCTCTTTTATTTACGTGTGTGTGTGTGTGTGTGTGTGTGTGTGTGTCTGTGTGTGTGTGTGTGTGTGTGTGGTATGTGGGCCTCTCACTGTTGTGGCCTCTCCCGTTGCGGAGCACAGGCTCTGGATGCGCAGGCTCAGCAGCCATGGCTCACGGGCCCAGCCGCTCCGCGGCATGTGGGATCTTCCCGGACCGGGGCACGAACCCGTGTCCCCTGCATCGGCAGGCAGACTCTCAACCACTGCGCCACCAGGGAAGCCCTACATTATTATTTTGAGAATTTAATGAGATCATGGATATATAAAAGCACTTTATTAAAATAGAAAGTCTGTAGTGTTAAAAAGTGCTCTGTAAAAAGTTACAAGTGCTATGAAGTCTGAAGTTATTCTTCCTGACCTCTACTCTTCCTCAAATTCATGTATCTGAATGTTTGATAGCAGAGCTCCTTTCCAATTCCTACCTCAGAACCCAGGATGCAGGTACATCTCTGACCCTGCTCTGGTTTTGTAACTTCTTCCAAGTCTCCCTGAAGAGCTTATTGAACATGAGGAATACAAGACCCCTTCACGGTCTATCTAGCAAGTTCACTGTTTACTGAATAAATCCTTCTTTTGGTAACGAGAACTCAAGATTTTCCGTCCTTCCTTCCCTGTCCCTCCCCCTCCCCCTCTTCTTCCTCCCACTTCTTTTTTTTTCCTTTTATTTATTTCACTAACACGTTAGGAAAGTGTATAAAAAGCCTTCTAGAGTTTAGCAATAAGAAGTTAGCTCGCACCTCTAGTCAGCTCCCAGACACTGCTGCGTCGGCCAGAGGCCAAAAGATAATAATTACAGTTTTTAAGTTCATCTTTATAACGTACATCTGCTGCCCCACCATATCTATTCATAAGCTAGTCCTAAATTTTCTAAGGAAATAAGGAGGCAAATGTAACAGATTCTCCCCCCAGTGGAGCCCAGCCTTTCAGTGAGATGTTATGCGCCCAGGCACACGAGGATCTTTGAGGCTTCTTTCAACAGGAGTTACATTTGATCTGAGCTTCTTTTTAACTGAAAGCAGTATTTTCAGTATTGATGGTTAACAAGAACTTACTTCAGGTGCAGAAATAAAGCAAAAACCAACCAGCTGTATTTCTCACAAGGTCTGCAGAAACACTGGGAACCCACGTGCAAGTGGATGACATGTAAACAAAAGTTGCATCTGCCATTTCAAGTGCCCACGATGTCACCTCCACCCCACTTTTTAACAAAGATAAAGATAATGCCCCCAGCCTTTGTTAAAAACAAGACGGCGGGCCCCAAATGGAGTCACTCAGGCTAAGCCCCGCCTCACCAAACAGAGACAAAGAGTTTCAGCTCTCCCAGAAATGGAATCTTAAATAAATACACCAGAAAGCCCCTGATTGGCGCTACTCAGGTAATCTGCCTGATGGGCCCCTGCCAGCCCCTAAAGGAAAGGAACTTTGCAATAACCAACCGGCTTTTTTGACTAATAAAACTTCCTTGTTCTCACTCCCTTCTGCCTATAAAATTCTTTCATTTTGTGCAGCTTCTCAGAGTTTCTTTCCATCTGCTACACTGGATGCTGCCTGACTCAAATCAACTTTTGCTCTTCAAGTTTGTAACATGCCTCGGTTTATCTTTTCAATAAATAGGCGTCAGAGAGGGAACCTAAGGAGACCCCCTCCCCCGACAGCCCCCAGGAGCGCTGAGCAACCAGGGAAGGTACCTGCTGAGTCCCTGGAGCTGGCTGTTTTCTCGCTGCCTCTGGAGGTGCTGGGCAAGTCCTCGCGGTCCTGGATCCTGGACCCGCAGCTCTTGCCTCGCGAGCTTTCCGACCATCTGAGCCTTCCTTTTTCTGGCCTGGGTCCGGAAACCTGATGGAGGCTGATTGGTCTGACGTAGAAAGGCTCACGCCTGGATCTGACTTGAGCCGGAGCGAGCCAGTATGAGGCCTCAGGTGAAAAAAATTGTGTTTTAAGGCTGAACTAGCAGGTTAAACTTATCAAAGATAATCTTGAATTAGAGAGGCCATAGTGGAGAACTTTCAACTTCGGTAAGCTTATCCATTTACAAGATGCCCTAGAAAAGGAGAAGCCTCAGCCAAGGACTCACTATAAAGGGGAGAAGAAAAATTACTCTTCCTCTTCTCTAGAGCCTGCAGACAGCATCCTGGGAGAGCTAGCGGAAGCTGGCAAAGCTTGAGACTTTTTACCAGTCGCTTCCCCCAGGTCTCTATCTGTGGTGCCTGGTTGAGAGAGGAATGTGCAATTTTACATTGTCCTTTTCTTTGCAGATTCAGACTCTTATTAATTTGGTTCTGGGGCTCCACCGTGGTTTTTTATTTTTGTTTTTTTTCTTTTTTGGCCATGCCGCGAAGCTTGTAGGATCTTATTTCCCCGACCAGGGACTGAACCCCGGCCCTGCAGTGGAAGCGCTGAGTCCTAACCACTGGACCACCAGGAATTCCCTGTTTTTCCTTAATTGAAGTTTAACTGACATACATTATATTAGTTTCAGGTGTAGGACATAATGAGCCCACATTTGTATACATTGTGAAACGATCACCAGTCTAGTTACCATCTGTCATAATACAAAATTACAAATTTTTTTTCTTGTGATGAGAACTTTTAAGATTTACCTTCTTAGTAACTTTCAAATTTGCAATACAGTATTACTAACTATAGTCACCATGCTGATGACTAGATATTTAGTTGCATCCCCATGACTTATTTAATTTTAAAACTGGAAATTTGTACCTCTTTATCCCCTTCACTGGTTTTACCCACCCCCCTTCCAACCCCCCTCCTCTTTGGCTATCATAATCTATTCTCTGTATATATGATTTCTTATTTGTTTGTTTTGTTTTTTAAATTCCACATAAAAGTGAAATTCTACAGTATTTTTCTTTCTTTGTCTGATTTATTTCACTCAGCAAAATATCATCAGGATCCATCCATGTTGTCACAAATGGCAAGAGTTCATTCTTTTTCATGGCTGAGTAGTAGCCCATTGTGTGTGTGTGTGTGTGTGTGTGTGTGTGTGTGTGTGTGTCTGTGTGTGTCTGTGTGTATCTCACATCTTCTTTTCCATACATCTATTGATGGACACTTAGGTTGTCTCCACATCTTGGCTATTGTGAATAATACTGCAATGAACATAGGTGGGCATATATCCTTTCAAATCAGTGTTTCATTTACTTCAGATAAATATCCAGAAGTGGAATTACTGGATCATATGGCAGTTCTATTTTTAATTTCTTTAGGAACCTCCATACTGTTTCCATAGTGGCCGCACAAATTTACATTCCCACCTAGGCTCCCTTTTCTCCACATTCTCACCCATACTTATTATTTCTTTTCCTTTTATGATAACCATTCTGACAGGTGTGACATCATATCTCATTGTGGTTTTGATTTATGTCTCCCTGATGATTAGTGATGTTCAGCATCATTTCATGTGCCTGTTGGCCATCTGAATGTCTTGTTTGAAAAAATGTCTATTCAGATCCTCTGCCCATTTTTTAATTGGATTGTTTGTTTGTTATTGAGCTTTATGAGCTCTTTATCTATTTTGGATATTAACCCCTTACCAGATACATGATTTACAAATATCTTCTCCCATTCAGTAGGTTGCCTTTTTATGTTGTTGATGGTTTCTTTCACTGTGCAGAATCTCTTTGGTTTGATGTAGTTGTATTCATTTATGTTTGCTTTGGTTGCCACTGCCTTTGAAGTCAGATCCAAAAAAATATCACAAAGAGCAATGTCAAGAAGCTTACTGCCTATGTTTTCTTCTAGGAGTTTTATGGTTTCTGGTATTATGTTCACGTCTTTAATCTTTTTTTTTTTTTTTTTGGCTACGTTGGGTCTTTGTTGCTGCGTGTGGGCTTTCTCTAGTTGCGGTGAGCAGGGGCTTCTCTTCATTGCAGTGCACGGGCTTCTCATTGTGGTGGCTTCTCTGGTTGCGGAGCTCAGGCTCTAGGCGCAGGCTCAGTAGTTGTGTATTGCGGGCTCTAGAGCGCAGGCTCAGTAGTTGTGGCGCATGGGCTTAGTTGCTACGCAGCATGTGGGATCTTCCCGGACCAGGGCTCAAACCCTGTCCCCTGTGTTGGCAGGTGGATTCTTAACCACTGTGCCACCAGGGAAGCCCTTTAATCCATTTTGAGTTAATTTTTGTGTATGGTGTAAGATAGTGGTCCAGTTTCTCTCTTTTGTATGTGTCCAGTTTTCCCAACACAATTTACTAAAGAGACTGTCTCTTCCCCATTGTTTTGATATATTCTTGCCTCCTTTGTCATAAATTAATTGACCATATATGCTTGGGTCTACTTCTGGGCTGTTTATTTTATTCCATTGATCTATGTGTCTGTTTTTATGCCAGTCCCATGATGACTGTAGCTTTGTAATATAGTTTGAAATCAGGAAGCATGATGCCTCCAGCATTGTTCTTCTTTCTCAGTGTTGCTTTGGCCATCCAAGATATTTTAAGGTTCCATACAAATTTTAGGATTATTTGTTCTATTTCTGTGAAAATGCCACTGAGATTTTGATGGGGATTGCACTGAATCTATAAATTGCTTTAGGTAATATGGAAATTTTTACAATATTAAGTTTTTCCAATCTATTTATGTCTTCTTCAGTTTCTTTCATCAATGTCTTACAGATTTCAGTGTACAGATCTTTCACCACCTTGGTTAAATTTATTCCTATGTATTTTATTCTTTTTGATGCAATTGTAAATAAGATTTTCTTGATTTCTCTTTCTGATAGTTTGTTGTTAGTATATAATAACACAATGGGTTTTTTAAAATTAATTAATTAATTTATTTATTTTTGGCTGCATTGGGTCTTCGTTGCTTTTCGTGGGCTTTCTCTAGTTGCGCTGAGCGGGGGCTACTCTTCGTTGCGGTGCGTGGGCTTCCCGTTGCGGTGGCTTCTCTTGTTGCGGAGCATGGGCTCTAGGCACATGGGTTTCAGTAGCTGTGGCACATGGGCTCAGTAGTTGTGGCTTGCGGGCTCTAGAGCATAGGCTCAGTAGTTGTGGCGCGTGGGCTTAGTTGCTCCACAGTCCGGGATCTTCCCGGACCAGGGCTCACACTCGTGTCCCCTGCATTGGCAGGTGGATTCTTAACCACTGCACCACCAGGGAAGTCCCCACAACAGGTTTTTGTATATTGATTTTTTTAACACCTCAACTTTACTAAATATGTTTATTAGTTCTAACAGTTTTCTGGTGGAGTCTTTAGGGTTTTCCATATACAAAATCATGTTGTTCACAGTGACAGTTTTACCTCTTCCTTTCCAATTTCAATGCTTTTTATTTATTTTTTCTGACTAATTGCTCTAGCTAAGATTTCCAATACTGTGTTGAATAAAAGTGTCTAGAGTAGGCATCCTTGTCTTGTTCCTGATCTTAAGGGAAAAGCTTTTAGCTTTTTTTCACCACTGAATATAATTTTAGCTGTTGGCTTGTCATATATGGCCTTTATTATATTGAGGTACATTCCATCTATACCCACTCTGTTGAGAGTTTTTTTTTTTAATAATAAATGGATGTTGAATTTTGTCAAATGCTTTTTCTGCATCTATTGATACGATCATATGATTTTTATCCTTCATTTTGTTAATACCCATTGGTTGTTGAATCTTTCTCTCCCAGAACAGCTTTTGCTTTTTTGTCTGTCTCATTTTGTGTCCTGAGAACTTAGCTTTGGAACCATCAGGTTGGGTGTCCCAAAATGTGGCCAGAAAGAAATGCAGGTTGCACTCCATTGGCAACTAGAGTTCTACTGATTGTTGTCAGCTTTCAAGGCAACTGTCTACATCTTTCTCTCTCAGCTGTCTTTTGGGAATGGTTTGGGTCTTGGGAGGGTAGTATCTTTTGCACCCCCCTTGGGAGTATCTCTTGCATCTGAAGGGGAGCAGGCTTTGCCACCCCAAAATATGCCACTTACACATGAGGATTATTATTTGAGCTCTTGATTATTTTTGAGTTCCTGAACCCAGCAGATTCAGGAAAAGCCCTTTACCTTCCCTTCAACTGCCTAATTTACATGGGAAAGAAGGCCTATACCAGGAAGAAAACTATTATCAGAGATATCATTTTGAAACAGGAGGGAAGGCAGCAGGGCACAACCTTTAAAAGAAGGACATAGCTGTTGAGGATATGACATAAACTGTTTAGAACCAAGTAAGTCCAAGATGGTGGAAGATTTGATGTCCAGTGGACCTTGAGCCTCATTATAAGCTCATTGTAATACATTAGCATATGCTAAATGACACACCCACAGGCGCCATGACCATTCCGAGGCTGACCATAAAAGGGCAAAAAGTGGTTGGTGACCCAATTCCTAGAAATCCTCACTCTTTCCCCAAAATCATTGGAATAAACCTCCCACTTGTTAGCCATGAAATTATCCAGACCACAAAAACTAACCACCCCATATTTCAGGGCCACTCTCGCCTTTTGAGACGGACTGCTTTCTGTCTATGGAATGTGTATCTCTCTAAACGAATCCACTTCTTACCCATCACTTTGCCTCTCACTGAATTCTTTTTGCGATGAGACATAAAGAACTTGAGCTTCATTAAATCCTGAGACCAGGTGTGCGATTTCAGTTAAAAGACAGTGGGGGGCTTCCCTGGTGGCACAGATGGTTGGGAGTCAGCCTGCCGATGCAGGGGGCACGGGTTCGTGCCCCAGTCCGGGAGGATCCCCGGGCCCGTGAGCCATGGCTGCTGAGCCTGCGCGTCCGGAGCCTGTGCTCCGCAGTGGGAGAGGCCACAACAGTGAGAGGCCCGTGTACCGCAAAAAAAAAAAAAAAAAAGACAGTGGGTTCGAGTCCCAGTCCATCGGTTCAAGACCCAACCTGAGTTTTGGTCTGGTTTGAGTCACATCTGAGGTGTGTGGTTTCAGTTTCACCTAGGAAACTTATGTGCTTAACCAGGCAATCTTTGTTTTCTGAACATCTGCTCTGCCTTCCTGTGAATGACCTTCCTCCTCTTGGTATCATCAGACCCCCTAACACTTTCCTTAGCTCAGGTATTATATAGGATGTCGTTACTTGGCTGTCTTTTGAGCCTTCATATCTTTACAGGGCTCCGTAAATGTTTGTTTCTCCTGTTAATCTCTCGTATCAATTTAATTATTAGACCAAAGAAGTTAGAAGGGAAGAAGGCGGAAAATTTTCCATCCCTACACATCCAAGCGGTTGTTCAATACTGCCAGGAATATTTACTGTTTTTCTCGGCTGAAGCCTGACAAGATATTTGAAAGGATTCTTTTTTTTTTTTTGAAAGGATTCTTTTTAAAAATAGCTCTGTGGTCTGAAGTTGGCCAAGTTGGAAACTGATATTCAGAACCTGATAAGAACTTTTTTTTTTAGGCTTTCTCCTTTAACCTAAAATAAAACTATGTACCCACAGGGGGGAAAAACATTCTGAAGCCTTTGTGGAAGGATTTACTAAAACATTCCAAAGACACACAGCTCTAAATCTAGAACATAGGAACCTTTTGATTTCCATCTTAGCGGAAAATCTTCTCCCTGATATAAAGAAGCAAACTGAGGATAATGTAGTTGGGTGAGTGGGTCAACCTCCATATTATTCAGGTGGGCCCCAATCTTTTGAGGAATTAAAAAATGTACTTGTCTTACAAATCTGGTCTTTACAAGACCAGACATGTGGCTCTAGAAACAATTCAAAGCAAACCTATTGTTTTTACCGAGCCCCAAACATTCACCTCGAAAGGCTTGCAGATATTTGTAAAACCTCTGAATTTAGGAAACAAGAGCCCTTGGTGGCAGAACTTGCATTCTTTCCCAGTGCCTTTTGAGATGTGAGTATTCCACAAGCTGGGTCGGGTCAGTCTCCACTTTCAGAGAGTTCAGTCTCGGAGGGGCAGTCCCAGGCACCAGCCATCTCCTTGTGTATCACACTGTATTCACATGAGGAGGAGATTCAGGTTCCCTCAGAGGAGGTTTTGGAAGGAGCAAGGAGTTGGCCAGGTTTATAATCAGTTGTGTGCAGTTGGTGGCACCATTTTGCAAATTTGGTGACTGAGTTTTGGAGACATTAAACGATTTGCCTGAGGTCACTCAGTGAGCAGGGAAGCCAGGATTTGAATCTTAGGAGAAAAGTGATGTCCAGGCTGTCCCCATTTGTGTGACATAGAGAACATTTAAGTTCCCTAAAGATCACTGGACGGTGGGCTAAGGCATGCAGGCAGTGTCAGTGGGGCAGGGGATCAGGACCCAGGCCTGGGGGGTCAGCTGGACCTGGTGTGAGCCATGGTACAGGGATTAAAGCCTTCTGGGCCTTGTCTGTGGACTTGGGATAATAATAGCAACAACGGTGAGACCCCACATTTATCGTGGGCTTACTGTATACTTTCACTGCCTCAATTTTCCTCATCTCTAGACTGGTAATAACAAGACTAGTAATGAGAATAATAAATGATAGGTAGCATTTATTGAATATATTTTGCATGAAACTCTCTGTTCTAAGAGAAATACACACCCTGGTGTTCCTCATCTGTAGCCTGGGAATAATAATAAAAGTAATAATAAGAATAAATGATATGAATGATTTATTAAATACTTAATGGATTATAGGCCCCCGTTCAAAGTGATTCATGCATCTGAGTTTCCTTCACAGATGGATTGGGAATAATAATAAATCATTATTGTAATTAGTGATAGCTAACATTTTACTGAGTGTTTACTATATGCCAGGTCCTGTTCTGAGAAGAACAGACTAGACAGACAAGGGCCATGGGTCCCCAGGAAGTCTCTCATATTGTTAAGGGAATCACTGACTGAAACCACCTGCCCTGGCCAGGCCCAAGAGTACCACCTGCAGGAGTTCTCTTACAACAGGAGGTCCTAGTAAGGAACACAGAACTAGCAAGCTACCAGCAACCAGAAGAATTCGGGAAAGGTCAAAAGGAGACAAGGAAGGACCCTGAGTCAGAATGATTGGCCAGAGACAACCCGGAAACTAACCCCATCACCATAAAACCTGAGACTGCGAGCCACGTGGCAGAGCGGTCCTCCTCGGTTCCCTTACCCTGCTGCTCTGCACCCGGGCGCCCTTCCCCAATAAAGTGTCTTGCTCTGTCAGCATGTGTGTCTCCTCGGACAATGCATGTCCGAGTGTCGAAGGCGTCCCCCTTCCAGGGCCAGCACTCTACCCCGTGCCTGGTCACCTCGCTCGGCTCCACCACACTGGCCTACTCCAGACGCTCCTCGCACTGGACAAACTCAGTCCCCTCCACAGCCCTTGTGGGCGCCATCCCCTCTGCCCAGCGCCCCTTCGCCCAGACACCTACGGGGCTCACTCCCTCGCCTGCCCCCTCACCTCCCTGCTCAGGCACCACTACCTCAGTGACATCCTCCCTGACACTGCTACTTAAAATCCGAGGCCTACCATAGTGCCTGGTACACAAGCAGACATTCAGCAAATGCTTGTTTAACCCACACGTGCTTAGCAGGTGGCAAGGTGCCCTTTGGAACTGGGTCCCCCAGGCCAGCGTCCTGAGCTGCTGACATCCTTAACAGTCCTGCACTCCGAGGAGACTGGGGTAAGGGCACCCCAGATGACGACACAGCAGGGCAAAAGCCCTGAGATGACAAGGTGCTTGGAGAAGGGTGGAAAATCAGCTGTGTGGCTTGAAGCAAACGTGTGAGGGTGTGAGAGGTCAGGCCAGGTAGGCGGGCAGGTCCGAGGGTGTCTGTGGGTAATGCAGGGACTCTGGGAGGCTGGGATTTTACTCTGAACCACAGGAGACTGACAGGACCTGCAGCGGGTTTTTAACACGTCCCTTCTAGCCCTTACTGGTAAAACAGGCGGTTCAGGAACCCGAGATGAGGCCGTAGAGATGGAGTGGTCTTGACACCCACCCAGTCATTGAGCTGTCGGGGGCGTATACAGAGCTCCCGCGTCCTGAGCCGGCCAAGGGACTGGTGGGCAGAGTCCGGCGAGGCCCCGCCCAGACTTCCTGAACCACTCCCCCTTCTCCCGGAGAGAGGAAGGGCACGACCCCCACCCCCAATGACTCCTGGGGCACAGACTCAGCCGGGGAGTTGGAGGATGGTCCGCGAACGTCGCCTTTATTTCCGGGCGGCACTTGAAGGAAGGTGGGGCCGGGTGGGTCCTACTGGCCTAAGGGGGCGTCAGGGCCAGCTCCGCCGGCGGCGCCAGGTCGCCCTCGCTGGGGAGCTGGGGGCCGGCCTGCGGGAGCTGAGAGTCAGGCTTTGGGGCCCTGGCGCCCGCCCACGCTGGCCCGCGCCGCCCTTTCCCTGTCCCCACCAACCCGAGGACGCCCTGCACCCGCACACCCCCCTCTCAGAGGGGCTCCGGATCCCAGATCCCGCCCGCTGTGTCTCGGCCCGTCTGGCCTCCATCCCGGGCTCTCTACCTCTCCGGCCCGGTCCTCTGGGGTGGTCTGAGTCTGGGCGGGGACCTGCCCCCCGAGTTTCTCCAGCTCCGCCTTCAGCCTGCGGAGAAGGGTTAGAGGAGAGGAGGAAGAGAGAGGGAGTGTGGAGGGGGCACAGGGAGGAAGCGACTGCCACTCTGAGCCCTGAAGACTGCAGAGAAGCCCCGGCGGGAGGAGAGCCCAGCCCGCGGAGGCCCCGCCCTTCTGGGAGGGGCAGAAGGGGAGGTGTTGGCGGGGCGGACCTCGGGCCCCACCCCCCTCCTTTCCCCTCTTACCCGTCTTTCTCTGCCGGGGCGCTCTGGACCTCGGGCGGCGAGCGCAGCCGCCGCTCCACCGTCTCCAGCTTGGCCCGCGCCTGCCTCTCTGCGGGTGGGCGGGGCGTCATGGGCGGGGCCGGGAGCTCCCGCCAGCCGCCCCGGCTCCGACCCCACCCCGTGCAGGAGTCCCACCTTCGGTGAGCAGCTGCTCCTTGCTGCTCTGCAGGGCACGGATCTCCCAGGCCAGTCGCTGCTTCAGCATCTGTGAAGAGAGAGAGGAGCCCTGTCCGTCCAGCTGTCCTCCTGGCCCCTCCTCCTTCGCGCCTCTCGGAAAGTCCTTACTTGAATTAGGGCGTTCATTCATTCATTCAGCTCTCCGTGAATTCAGTGTGCAGCTTCTGCTGTGGCCGGGCGCTGGCATAGATGCTCTCCCCCTCAATCACTTCCCATGTCCCCGTGTACCTTAAACCTCATCTCTTCCCACTGTCTCATCCACCAGCCTCACTGTTTGCTCTTCCTCAAATACCCCAGGCACAGTTCAGCCTCCCAGGGACATTGGCACTCAGATACCCGCATGGCTTCCTCACTTCCTTCGTGTCTGTGTTCAGATGACACCTGCTCAGACAGGACTTCCCCACTGGCGTTACATGATCTATCTACTTATTTTCTTGTTTAGAGTCTGGGTATGCATCTCCTTGCTCCTAACCAACTTGGGGACAGCAAAGACTTGGCCCCTTTGGAATGCTGTTGGACACATCCAGAGACATTGGTTGAACGAAGGAATGCCCTGAACATGTCTGTCTGGTTCGGAGTTCCCATTTGCCACTGCAGGATAAGCACTCTAGGGAAGCAGGAGGGAAGCACGATCAGCAATGGCTACGGCAACACTCTGGGCAATGGATGCTGGGTGTGGCAGTGGGGGATGATGAGATGTGGTTGGGTTTAAGGTAGAGGCTGAAGGACTGAGTTGAGGCGGTGAGAGGAAGAAAGGAGTCAAGGACTACCCCTCGGCATTGGGCCTGAGCAGTAGGTGGACCCTGGGCTGATCAGCAGAGACACTGAAGCCAGGGGAGGAGTGGCTTTGGTTGAGGCAATGATAATGGCTCACGTGGAATTCCCAGGGGTCCTTGTGCTGGCCTGTCAAATCCTCCAGACGTTCTTCCACGTGCAACCTAGGGGCCGACATCCAGGAATGAGAAAACACATGCTAGGACTGACACCCAGCCTGGCGCAGTCCGGGGGTTTCTCATTCATAGGCCTTCAGATCTTTGCCTGGTGGTCCCTTGCTAGGAGCCCCTTTATGTGCTTTCTCCTCTGAGCCTTGCTTCCAGCAGCACCACTTCCAACAAACTCTCCCTCATGCAAGCCCCACTCCCATTCCCCACACCGTGCCACCCCAGGCCCTAGACCCAGGGTTACCCCGGCTTCCTCTGTCCTCGACTCTCTGTGATCTGAGAGTTATGGATAGAAATTTGTTCCATGTGCTCTGCCAACATGTACTTCCTGGGAAAGGAAAGAGAACCCTCAGTTATATTCTCTGAATGAGCCCCCACTCCTTCCAGCAGGAGAGGGGCTGGGAGTCCTCATTCTCCTTTCCTCTGAGCAAATGTGAACCTTTATAGGCCTCTCTTGACACTATCACCCTGTCCATTCTGTCCCCCATCAAACCATGCCTTCCCAAGAAACCTTTGTGAAGGGGACAGTAGTTTAGTTTCATAAATTATAAAGTCCTAGATTGAGGCCTGGATCTGCTACTCCACTGTGACTTGGACAAGTTATTTAACCTCTCTGGGTCTCAGTTTCCTCATATGTAAAATGGTGGTACTGTCATTGTGAGGATTAGTTGACAAATGAACGTAAACTGCTCATCAGACGGTGGTAGGTGTGGTGTGGTTAAGCGTGTATACACTTTAACTACCATCAAGTTTTACCACATTATTAAAATCATGATGTACCAGCATTTGAGACTTCCGGTCACAAGAATGTAAAGGTTCAAAGGATGGAGAGATAGATGGGTAGATGGCTGGATGGACAGTGAACTGGACGGGTGAATGGTAGGCTGGAGAGATGATGTCTGGTTAGAGGAATGATGAGTGGAGGGGTGATGGATGGATGGAGAAATAAAGGAAAGATTGTCAGAAGGATGGATAGCTGTCTGGATGGATGGTTGGGGAAAGAAATGAATGGTTAAATGGATGATTGGAAAGGTGGAGAGAAGATGAATGAATGATTGGATGGGTGAAAGATGATTAGATGGAAGGCTGGAGGGATCATGGCTGTCTGTCTGGACGGAGAGTTGGATAGTTGGGTAGATGTATGTACGGATGAGTGGGACAGTGGGTGGATGGCTGGGTAAATGGGTGGCTGGGGTCATAAGTGAGTAGACAGATAAACAAATGAATGGATGGCAGAAGAGCTGGCTAACCAATAGGGGAAGACTTAGAATAATACCAATGGATAAAATTTATTTGATAAAGAAACTAGCAATGAATGATTAAATGAGTTCATTTTAACACCGCCACTTAATATTAATGATGAGCAGGGGTGTCTCTTGTCTAGCCACTCGATTTTATAGAAAGGGAAATTGAGGAGTGTGTGTCCAAGATTTATTTTCCCTAGCTCTTGCCCACTCCTCCCTCGGGCTGGGGAAAAAGGCGGGGAAGAGCTGGGCAGGACCTCTTACCTCTGAGCCTCACTTTCCTTCCTTTGGCAGTGCAGCTGGAGGGTCCTCAGTGCCTCTGTGGGAGGAGGAACCAAGGGGCTTTGTGAGAGCTCTTGAGAACTCAGGGCTGGGTAGAAGCAAGGGGCCTTGCATCATGCTGGGCATTGGAGGGCACTGAGGGACTTCAGTGCTTACTCCGAGTCAGATGGCAGCCAAGGGAGAGATCTGAGCAGAGAGGGGGCCACCCTGACTCAGATGTCAGGGGGATTCCTCTGGCTGTCTGAGAACTTCAGGCATTTGTGGGGTGATGTGGTAGAATAATGAGGACGAAGCAGCTGGTAAATACCTTGCTTTTTGCTCAAAACCTCCTCCAGGTGCACTTTCTCTCCATTCACTGGAAAACACAATGACACTTTGAGTCTCCAGGGCCCTCATCCTGAGCCCCGACTGCAACTTCATGCAAAGGGAAGGCCCAAGGTCGCAAAGAAGATATGATACAGCCTCAGGGGAGGAGAGGTATCTCCTCACCAACCGTGCACCCATCTCCCGCTGGGGACCATCCTGGTCCAGGTTTTCCCGCTCGGGGCACACATTCCCTGTAAGTGCCGAAGTAGTGAAGGGCTGCAGGGCTCCCTTGTGTAGGATGCCTATGGTTTATACTGAGGGTAGAGACGATGAGAAATACAAAAGTACACCACGTCAAGTAGAAATAAAGGCTGTGAAGAAATAAATCAAGCAGGGGAGTGAGAGAAGGTGGTGTTCTATTTTTAGAGGGGGCCATCAAGGTAGACCTGTTGGGGTGAAGTTTCAGCTGAGAGCTGAAAGGTGACTCGAGATAGCACGAGGCAATGCGGATTATGTAGGACGAGAACCTCTCAGGTGGACGGAACAGCCCTTGCAAAGACCCTGAGGTGTGCACAGGAACGTCAGCACTGGTCATGAGATCTCTGGATCCCTCTTCTGGTCCCACTTACAGGAGTCCAGGTCCCTATGCAGGGCCTCCCAGAGAGCTTGGGCTTCTCCCAGTTCCTCGCTGGATTTCTTCTTTGCTGGGTCAAAAAAGGGAAGAAGACACGGTGTGAGTGCAGCCACTAGCCTTGCTATTCTCTCACAGACCATGACACTGAGCACTCATCTTCAGACAGCCCGGAGGGGCCTGGATCTCATAGATGAAGAAGTGGAGACTTTCAAAGCCCAGGTCCCTCTTGGGCAGCTGGCCGTCTTACGTCCCGGAGCTTACCTTGCTGAAGCTCATTAATCCGGTTAATCAGGTCTTCGACCTGTGGCTCCAGGCTTCCCTCTGCAGAAGGAAAGAAAGATTGAGCCAGAGAAGGCAGATGCCTGGCTGTCTAAGGCAGAAGGAGGGGGCGGGTGTTGCCACTGTGTCTCTGCTGCTATGGATCAGAATTTATTGAGTGTGCGCTGTGTCCCAGGCTCTGTAAGAACCCCTTGCAGGGCTTGCATTCTGGGTGGGAGAGATGGACACTAAACAAAGATTCATGATGTCAATGCTGGTGGCAGCAAACGCCAGGAAGGGAAATAAAGTGAAGCAAGGGGCTGAAGAATGAAAGGGTAGAAGGTGCCTCTTGAGATGTGGAGAGGCTCCAAATGATGTGAAGGATGACAGCCCTGCAGCTCTGTGGGGTGGGGAGTGTGGAGTGGGGGACACGCCAGACAGAAGGACGATGAGTGCAAAGCCCCCGCAGTGGGGCTGAGTGAGGCACATGCCCAAAATATATGGCCAAGCGGTCTGCTGTGGCTCGTGTGGCTCTAGTGAGCTAGTGGAGAGTAGCTGGAGGCCAAGTGGGGAAGTGGGAGTGGCAGATCGCCCAGGGCCTCCTGGGATGTGGTAGAGGCTTCTACATGGAAATCTGAATGTGGTGGGAGACAAGGGAGACCCCCGTGCCCCCCCATGAAAAGGCTGGCGGGGTGGGTTGTCGCTTCTGTCCACCTGGACTCTGGTGCTGACCTCATATGAGATATGGGGAAAATGTCATTTTGACAGCTATCAAGTTCTCCAACGACAGGGAGATCAACTGTCTCTTTAGGGCGTCATCGCTAACGTCTCACAGTCCGAATTTCAGTGCCCCGTATGGGGAAGCCCTCCTCGTCTCTCTCTGGCTTCAAGGTTGGGAGCACAGGATTAAGACAAAAATCTGCCCAACCCTTGCTGGGTCTCACTACCAGCCTGTGAGACACTCTGGAGTTAAGTTCAAGTTCTGGATTTCCAGAGGCCACTACCTTCACCTCCTGTGACTTCCAGGAGACTGAGTGCTCTCCGAGGTGCTGATTATGATACAAATCCCTGGGGTCTTTGTTTTACTGGAGACGGGCAGAGTCACTGCATTTTCAATCATGCAATTCCTCTACCTAAGTTTAGTCTAGGCAGCAGCTCCAATGTACTTTTGCATGTGGCCACAGAGTCAGGGGAAGGGGAGGTTCCCCTTTATTTGGAACAGACCAATGGATTGTAGTATTTTAAGCTGCTGATGGACTGGGGGGGATCCAACCTCAAACACGGCCAGAACTCTGCCCCAGCCCCGTTGTGGGTACTGGATGCTGGCTGGCTCCCAGTCTCCCATCAACAAGCAAAGCAAGGGGCAAAGCTGTTTGCATTGCCATTTGTATATTAAAAAGGAGGGCAAAGAATACACACCCAAGAATGTATGTTTTTTAATGTCTAGAAAAATACCTAAGAATTTAAAAGTAGTTGCTGCTGGCCTATGGGTCAGGGAAATGGATGGCTGGGGTGTGTGTGAGCGTGAGTGTGTGTGTGTGTGTGTGTATGTGCGTGCATGCATATGAGTGTTGGAGGGTAGGGTTTTCCATCCCTTTATACTTCTTGAACTTTTTTTTTTTTTTTTTTGCGGTACGCGGACCTCTCACTGTGGTGGCCTCTCCCGTTGCGGAGCACAGGCTCCGGACGCGCAGGCTCAGCGGCCATGACTCACGGGCCCAGCCGCTCCGCGGCATGTGGGATCTTCCCGGACCGGGGCACGAACCCGTGTCCCCTGCATCTGCAGGCGGACTCTCAACCACTGTGCCACCAGGGAAGCCCTACTTCTTGAAATTTGAAGCTGTGTTTTTGGTTTAAAGAATTAAATTGTGTAAGCAGGAGAAAGTGCAACGGGATAATTTCCCAAGGTTGTGAGTTGAGAGGGTGGGTTTGAACCACGTCTTCCTGACTCAAAACCTCAGGCTAAGCCTCAGACACGAGGAGACACATGACCTTTCTGCAGCCTCTTCACCATTTCCAGCAACTCTTCAGTCTTCTTTGAAGACTTGGTCTGACCTGTGGAGACGAAAATCAGAATTGCTGCACCCAGTGACAGTGAGAGGGGACTGAGGAGAGGTCCAAGCTAATCTGGGCAGGGAGGAAGAAAGCCTCACTGGGTTCTGAGGACACCCCTGGGCTGAACCAAAGATAGGCTGAGGGGCAGCTTTCCAGCCAGAGCAGGGTCCCTGCAGGACCCCTGTCCTTTTTTGTTTTTTTGGCTGCACCACACGGTTTGTGGAATTTTAGTTCCTTGACCAGGGATTGAACCCAGGCCCTTGGCAGTGAAAGCATGGAGTCCTAACCACTGGACCATCAACGAACTCCCAGAACCCCGCCTTGTGTCTCTAGGGTTGATGGTGTGTGCTAGATGAGTCAGGACCCCTAATGGCCGTTTCTTCCTGAGAGGTCAAAGAACACCACAGACATCCCTTTAATGAAATTCAGGTGTGAGAGAAGGGGATGCACTTTTGCTGCTACTGCTGTTCAAAATCAGTGTGAAGTTTTAAGCAATGCAGTAGGACAGAACAATTTCATATGAATTTCTTTAAAATCAGTATAGGCCACAATTTGCAAATTCTTAAAGAACTGATGGGTCTAGGAAATGGTTTACTAATGGCTGCTAACATCCACGAAAGACAACTGAATATTATAAGCCTCCTGATGGAAGAACATAACACCACCTGTGAAGGATTTTGCCCCCCTCAAACCCAAACAAAAAAAAAAAAAAAAAGGAAACTTCAACCTTTGTCACTTTTGCCAATGGGATAGGCAAAAACAGCATTTCATTTCAAACTTTCTGGTAGTAAATATTAAAAACTTAACTCCTCTGGATCAGAAATTCCACCTCTAGACATTTTAAGGAAATAATTAAGGATGGTGGGCAAGATTGTTCCATTGTTCATAATCTTAAAAGACGGAAGCAACTTAAAGGTACCTTGGTTGACTACAGTACATTGAGGATAAAATTCTTTGCAGCCATTAAAACTCATGTTGTAAATCAGGGGTTCTTGGGAATTCCCTGGAGGTCCAGTGGTTAGGACTCAGCACCCTCACTGCCGGGACCTGGCTTTGATCCCTGATCAGGAAACTAAGATCCCACGAGCCTCGGGGGAAAAAACCAATCAGGGCTTCTTGACCTAAGCTTATTAAATTTTGTTGAAATGTTTGGTGGTATGTTCAGTTTCTTTACATCTTTTTGTCTTGTCTGAGATCTTTTACAAATTGGTATGTATCAATTTAATTTTGCATAAATCTCATTGCTTTTATCTGGTATCATTGGTTGGTATGTCTCCTCTGGAGACTTTTATGTTCTTTAAATATTCTTAATATTTGGAATGAAATAAAAAAATTAAATCTACTTTAATAATGAAGGGAGATATTTGTGATTACTTGTTTTGTTTTTAATATTAAGAAAATTTCCAAAGGCACATGGAAGTAGAGAGGATACCATGATGAACTCCAGTTTACTTTGTCCAGATCTGACAATCATAAAACATATTTGCTTCAGCTATGTTTCTCTTGTGCTAAAGTATTTTCAAGCAAGCCCCAGACTTCATGACATTTCATCCCTAGATACTTCATTGAGTCTCAACTAAAAAAAAAGAAAGTCTCAACTACTAGAAGACATTTTCTTAGATGACTCCAATCCTATAATCGCACCGACAAGATTAGCAATCATCACTAACCATCGGGTCATTTATATCATAAAATGCCCACAACATATGTGGCTTCCCCTGATTGTCTCCATATGTCTTTCACAGCTGGCTTGTTGAACCACTTCTGTGAAAGCTCCATCTGTGTTTTTCCTCTCCACTGCATTTATTTTTTTATTGCAGTATGGTTGATTTACAACGTTGTGTTAGTTTCAGGTGTACAGCAAAGTGAATCAGTTATACATATACATATATCCACTCTTTTTTTTTTTTTAAGATTCTTTTCCCATATAGGCCATTACAGAGTATAGAATAGAGTTTCCTGTTCTATATAGCAGGTTCTTATTAGTTATCTATTTTATATATAGTAGTGTGTATATGTCAACCCCAATCTCCCAGTTTATCCCTCCTCCCACCCTTATCCCCTGGTAACCATAAGTTTGTTTTCTACATCCATGACTCTACTTCTGTTTTGTAAATTTGTACCCATTTGTACCCTTTTTTTAAGATTCCACATATAAGCAACATCATACAATATTTGTCTTTCTGTGTCTGACTTACTTTACTCAGTATCACAATCTCTAGGTCCATCCCTGTTGCTGCAAATGGCATTATTTTGTCCTTTTTTATGGCTGAGTAATATTCCATTTTATATATGTAACACATATTCTTTATCCATTCTTCTGTTGATGGACATTTAGGTTGCTTCCATGTCCTAGCTATTGTAAATAGTGAACACTGGGGCACATGTATCTTTTAGAATTATGGTTTTCTCTGGTATATGCCCTCAGAATGGGAGAAAATATTTGTAAATGAAACAACTGACAAGGGATTAATCTCCAAAATATACAAACAGCTCATGCAGCTCAATTAAAAAAAAAAAAAAACCACAATCAAAAACGGGCAGAAGAGCTAAATAGACATTTCTCCAAAGAAGACATACAGGTGGCCAAAAAGCACATGAAGAGATGCTCAACACCACTATTAGAGAAATGCAAATCAAAACTATAATGACGTATCACCTCACACCAGTCAGAATGACCGTCATCCAAAAATCTACAAACAACAAATGCCGGAGAGGGTGTGGAGAAAAGGGAACCCTCCTGCACTGCTGGTGGGAATGTAAATTGGTACAGTCACTAAGGAGAACAGTATGGAGGTTCCTTAAAAAACTACAAATAGAACGACCATGTGATCCTCTCCACCGCATTGCTAGTCCTAGTCACACAGTAAGATCATAGGTGATCAGTTAATCTTTCAAATAGTCCAGCTAACATCTTGACAAAAACAATGTGACAGAGCTTCCCTGGTGGCACAGTGGTTGAGAGTCCGCCTGCCGATGCAGGGGACACGGGTTCGTGCCCCGGTCCGGGAGGATCCCACATGCCGCAGAGCAGCTGGGCCCGTGAGCCATGGCCGTTGAGCCTGCGTGTCCGGAGCCTGTGCTCCGTAACGGGAGAGGCCACAACAGTGAGAGGGCCGTGTACCGCAAAAAAAAAAAAAAAAAAAAAAAATCAATGTGACAAAACAAAACAGCCTATAGAGCATGAACCCCTTTGAAACACTTTATTTTGAAATAATTTCAGATGTATTGAATACATAAAAGTTGTAGAAATAGGCCACAGGGCTATTTGCCCTTGTATCAGATTTCCCATTTGTGAGCATTACTGCACATAAATTGCAGGCATCATGACCCATTATTTCTTAATATTCCAGTATATATTTCTTATTTATAAGGGGACTCTACCAGGTAACTGCAGTATAACCATCAAAACAGAGATGTTAATATTGACCAATATTAATGTATGATCCTCAGGTGCCATTCAGCATTTTTTCTCTTATATTTTAATATTATTTAGCACTACTTACATTTTCCTTTCTAAAAACTTACAAAAATGCTTCCACCTCTACACAGCCCCCAAAATCCAAGTCTCTTGTTGAGAGTCACCAGTTAGGCCTTTAGCCTTCAGACATTTTTCTAAGCAGCACACATAGCGCTGTAGTTGAACTGCCTCTTCTTTTTTTTTTTCTTTTTTTAATCCCAACTTTGCTTTTCTCTCATAAGAATATGATCTCTTTTGAAGCTCACTCTCTGTTAATGAATCACCATCTTCTCCTTTCAAAATTAATTTTAATTAATTAAATTAAATGGGAATTTTTTTCCTGCCTCTTAAGAAAAAATGTCCACTATACAGGCATTCCATAATGCATGGATATACCTAAATTTAGTCATTTCGTGATTGCTCCTGTGTTTTGCTTCCATCAACAACATTCCAATGACCCTGCTTGGTCCACACATCTGTGTATTCTAAGATTACCAAGCATGGTGACTGAAGATATGAAAATACCAGATATATTTTTCTAAAGCCAATTTTGATGGGTTAGAAATGGTAACTTGATATGCTTTTCAACTTTCTCCATTGCTGGCGAAGTTGATCATAACTTCCTTTTTAAAAAAAATTTGATAATAATAGTCTTTTTTTTTTTTTTTTTTTAAAGCACAGTGGCAGCTATACTAAGTGCTTAATAAGGAAGATATATTGGCATCTGTCTTATTTCTTGTTGAAAGCTTGCACTCAGTGTGAGGCCAAAATCTAAGAGAGCTCTCAGTGTTAGTTATTTCATTATTCATGCAGTAAAAGAATCACTGAGCACCTACTATATGCCAAGCAGGCATTGTTTCAGGTGCTGGGGAAACGGCAATAATTGGTCTGTTCTCATGAAGCTCACATCCTAAGACAGACAATATACAAGTGCATAATTATTGTCATCTGCATAGATGTATCTGGGAAGATGCAATCCAATGTGCTCATTAATATGATGGTTTAGAGTGTGTAGGAAAGGTGGTCAGAGATAAATGAAAGGAGGGCCAAGAGTCGAAACAGTCGATAGAGTGATGGGTACATGCTATTTCCTGTGCTTTGGTACATTTTGAAAATTTCTATAATTAAAAAAAATGCTAGTGGCTAACAGGGGATCGTTGTCTTGGGGGATTTTCTTCTTTTGGCTAGACCTAAATTTCTAACCCCCTCTAGGGAAATTTTGTCTTTCCTCTCACTGGGGTGTGTGGTGTCAATATCAACAAAATGCCCTGGAGAATTTTCTCCAAAGAAGCCGTCTGTGAGAGTGGCCATTCACAATTAGGATTTAAGAGTCCATGCAGTGTGATATGGGCTGGGTGTGAAATGACGATATAGGGGAATTACTGTTGATTTTCTTAGCTATGGCAGCAGCTGAGCGGGTTCTGTGAGACCACCCACCCCTCTTTTGTTTGAAGAGATGCATACTGAAGTATTCAGTCTATTGTTTACTTTAAAATACGTAAGCAGTATAGCCAATAAAGTTGACAGCAATTAA